AAGAAAGTGTTGTGTGTGAATAATAGTAGTAATAAGTTAAAAAGTTACTAGACCATTAGTCACTCAAATGATGCAGACTTTGACAGTCTGGACTGTGGGCAAAGCATTGAATCAAGTCTCCCATGCTACCCTCAAGGACAAAATGGAGAGATGAACTTGATAACAGCACAGTTTGGTGGATTCCAAAGTAGCTGAATGATCTGACCCAATAAATAGTAATTAACAGCACAATGTTAGCTTGGAGGGAAGTCTCTAGTTGATGCTCCAAAGATCTGGTCTGGCCTGGTGGTGTTCAGTACTATTATCAATGACCTCAGGGTAGGGAGGGAGTATCTGGTGTGCTTATAAAATGTGCAGATGATACAAGGTAAATACATTACCAAATGTATTCCCAAAAGAAATACATAGCAAATACATTACCAAATGATAATATTAGGATCCAAAGTAATCTTGATAGGGTAGGATGAAATCTAATTAAGATGGAATTTAATAGAGATAAATGTGAAATCCTAGATTTTGGTTTAAGAACTCAATTGTACAAGTGCAGGATTGAGGAGGCACGGTTAGACAACGGCACATGTGAAAAAATGTCAGGGTTTCAGTGGCCTACAAGTTTCATACACACAAACAGTATGATATGGCAGTCAAAAAATAATCTTAGAGCATGTTAATAGAGACATAATGGATATCTAACTGAGGAAGTGAGGGAGATAGTTCCTCCAGACAGTTTTCTATTCAGATCATATCTGCAATATTGTATTTAGTTTGGGATTTCATATTTTAGGAAGGACATCGATAAACTAAAGCATGTCCAAGAAACACAATCAAGATGGTGAAGTTACTGGGGATCATGCTATCTGAACCAAAGGTCTAGTTGAAAGAACCAGAGAGGTTTGGCCTGGGGAAGAAAATGTGTGTGCGTGTGTGCATGTGCACATATGTGTGTGTGTATGTGTGTGTGTATAGCAAGGGGTGGGAGGAACAGGAAGATAGAAGAGCTATCTGTCTTTCAGGCACTACTTCATTATCATCTTTGTAGAATGGCACCAAGAGTCTAGTGATAAATTCTGGTTGACTGAAAAGTGATCATTTAGTCAAAGGAACACAGATGTAAAGGTTGAATGAGAATGAGACATGGTTGGAGGTCCCCCATGTAGTACATAGAAAAGGAGTAGTTGAACCTAGGGTCTCTGGCTCTAAATCCCACTCTCTCCCAACTGTTCCACACTGTTTCCAACACATTTCCCCAAGAGCTACTTTTCCCTTTTAAAATGATAATAATAGTTCACATTTATATAGAGCTTTAAGGTTTATGAAGTGCCTTATACACATTATCTCATCGGATTTGAAAAATGAGTCCCCTTTTTACTACATCCACATGGAAGAAACTAATTTGAACAAGCAGCTCCCATTAGGCTTTTGGCTATACCTTTTATTGTGACAAGATTTAGAATTCACTTGAAACTTACGATTCCTGTGTCGCCTCCAGCGTTTTTTCATCAAAAATTCCTGGCTTCTGTACATGACATAGAGATGATCAAATTTCATTATCTCCAGCTATAGCCCCCTGCAATTATTCTTATAGCATTCAGGACCAAATTTATTGCAGACAGTCCTATGCTGATAACGTTTTAGGTTCTATATATGGGATTAGAGTGGGATATGGCAGAAAAGATTGCTCTTCTGGGCATCAGGAAACTTGGGTTCAAATTTCACTTCTGACATTTCCTAGTGGTTTGACTGGGCAAGTCACTTAAGTTCTCACTGAGCCTTAGTTTCCTCATCTGTAGAATGGGGATGATGATAATAAACTTTATTTTGCAAAGTTGTTGGGAGGATCACGAGATAATATATAAATGTCAGCTACTGTTATGAATAATCAGCCACTAAAAACAACCAGTTGGGAGCTACTTCTGGGTGCTTCCTCTCTCCTTTATAAATATATTCCTTGTCCTTGAGGGCCCAGGGAGATGAAGCTTGCAAAAGGCTAACCTGTCAAACATGTGTTGAGCCTTGGCTTTTTTCAGACAAAACAGTCGAGCTATATGTAGACAATGAACCCCAGTCCCACGTCGGGAGCTACATCTTAGAAAGACTCACAACTTGACTATAAAGTTAGAAAAATAAATTGTCAAGATAAAGTAAACCAGGCAGTGTGGAATGGTAGAGTTAACACTGACTCTGAGGTCAAGGGACCTGGGTTCGAATCTCACCTCTGACACTTATTACCTTTGTTACCTCGGGCCCCAGTTGCCTCATATGTGAAATGAGGTGGTTGGACTTGGTAACTTCAAGGGTCTCTTCCAGCTCTAAATCTGTGATCCTTTGATGTTTTTTCCTTAGTTAGTTTCTTAGCTTCAGTAGGAAGGAGAGAAATTCCTCTCATGTTCCCCTACTCAAAACCTAGTGCCATGTTATGTATATTTGTTGTCATTCATTTGTTCAGTTACATCTGACACTTTGCAACCCCATGAACCATTCCAAGCCCTTCTATCTTCCATTATCTCCTGAAATCTATCCAAGCTCATGTTCGTTGCTTCCATGACACTATCTATCCATCTTATCCTCTGCCCTCCCCTTTTCCTTTTGCCTTTAATCTTTCCCAACATCCAAGTCTTTTTCCAATGAGTCCTGTCTTCTCATTATGTGGCCAATCAAAGTACTTAAACCTAAGCTTTGGTATTTGTCCTTCCAATGAACAGTGTCCCAAAAGTCTTAGTGCAGTACTAAGCTAAGGGATGCCCTGTATTAGATACTCAATATCCACAAGCTCTGTTCAGATTCAGTCTACTTTTCAAAGCATCTCATGGACTTCTCCAGTTGCTTGGACTCCCTCTCCTCAAATCAAGGTTGTGTCACACTTATCTATGAAGATTTTCTAGCCCCCAGTAGACTATAAACTCCTTGAAGGCAGGAACTGTTTTTCAGTTTTTAACTTTGCCTTCCCAGATCCTAGCAAGGGGCTTAAAAAGTGGTTGTTGAATTGAATCAAAATAAATTGGATCAGTGAATGAATGAGTCTTTGGAAAATTCACTAGGACTCAAGATAGTGAAAAGTTGCAGGAGTGTAAACTAACCCAATGGACCAAATGCTTTCCCCATAACTCCAGGAAGTATTCAAAAGCATGGGGAGAGACGAGGTCATCAAATGACAGCCCTGTCTGCCCTGTAGGCACGAGAAGTGCCAGTGGTCCCGATGGAACCAGACTCCAATCTTCCAGCTGCATCCTCCCCATTCTTCTTCATTCCACACGAAACAAATAGGATTGTTTCATTGAGTGGGGCTGCACAAAGGGGTATAATCCTTACTAGACAGTCAGCTCTAGGTTTCAGTCATAACTTAATTAACACAAGAGATGCTCTTGAATACTTCAACAAGTCAAACATTAATGTGAACTCAAATTTCTCCCAGTCATGGTTCTGTTTTGGTTTCCTCTAAAAGATATCCTAACTGTATCTCAGATGATGCACCATTTACTTCATCAAGCAACTGGTAGGACAGTAAGTCTACAACAGAAACTACCAAAATGAATTTAATAAATGAATGGATCTATGTCAATAGCTATAAGCTGAAATCAATTGGAACTTTATCACATGGAGACAGGTACCTTCCTAGCCACAGTTAACTACTCATGCTCAAATCTACACTAAACCCCAATCTGATAACTACACGTACCTCTTGGCTGACATGCAGTACAAAATACTTGACTTCAGATGCTTGATTTATGTATTTTTTTTTTACCTTCTTTATCTTCAATACACCCATCTACATTGTTACTGTCTAAGACTACCACCTCCTCGGATGGTAAGGGAATCTGCTTACCTTGCTTTGTCCAGTACCCATCGCATTAAGTGAGTAGTAATCAATATTTTTTTAAATATTTGAAAATAATCATGATGAACTAAGCTCCCTTTCTTTCTTTAAAAAATAAAACCTCTATAATGAATTTATAGTAACAGAGACATGAACCAAATTTCTTGAGGATAATATGATTATAAATTTAGAGCTGGAAGTTCCATAGAGAACCCAACCCCTTAATTTTACAGAAGGTGAAACTGAGCTACAAAGAGATTAAGTGATTGACCCAGTGGCACATAGTATTTGTTTGAGGCAGGATTTAAACTCTGTTCTTCCTTGAGGTTGCCTCCAAAATGAGATCTTATTCTATTCAGCCTTCTATGAATGACAAGGCAGAGTCACTATCTGGTGTCTTGGTTTTTACCCTCACCTATCTATTACCTCTGAAATATTTATTTGGCATTTTGATTAAAGGTTACGATTTTCCATAGGCTAATCTTAGAGAGGCAACATGGTGGGGTAACAAAAAAGCAGATCAGCATCCCACTGCCCTCTCTGCTACAAGTGAGTAGACCACAGTAAGTCACAGCAGCTCCCCAGGTCTCAGCACCCTTTTCTATAAAACAAGAGGTTTCAGCTGGATGATCTCTAAGGTCCCTTCCAAATAGAAGGTCTTATGATTTCATTTTCTGGATGAGTGCCCACTGCAATTCTAATCGATTCATCACATCTAATAAAATTTCTAAAAAGAGGAAATGACAGCACATTAAAATAAGAAGCCTTTATTATCACTGACTAAAGAAGTGCTAACCTATTGTAGCCATTAAAATGAGATGGGAAATGATTCATTTTGAGTATATTTTAAAAGGGTTGGATAGAAGTTCTAGGTATAGAAACAAACCAGAGTGATTTTACCCACTAACATTTTACTGATTGACAATGACTGTTCTCCTTTTGAGAGAAAGGTCATGGATGTCTACAGGTATGGAATACTGCAAATCATGGCACACTCAGGAGCTCCTAGACTGGACTAACAGTTTTTCTTTATTGTGTGTGTGTGTGTGTTTGTGTGAGCATGCACATGCAGTATAGAGGCAAAGATACATTTCGTTGCAAATGTAGTGCAAAACAACAACAACCATAAAACACCAATAAGATATTTAAGAAGAAAAGAAAAGAAAATGCAGTTTTCTTTACTTACCTGCACTGTGGCATGCACAGACTCAGGCACCTGATATCGCAACTCATGGGCTGTAGCTTGAGATTTGGGCAACAGGAATGGGTAAGAAAGGGATCGATATTTTGACTTCATAATCTGTAAAAATAAAATAAAAACTCAAGAGAAAGAACTGATAAATAGATGTATAGAATAATTTTTACATATATGTGTATATATACATATGTGTGTATATATATATATATATATATATATATATATACACCTATTTGTGTCTAATGGTGGCCATCTCTAGAATAGGTAGGAGGAGGAGGAAGGAAAAAAAAGGGAAAAAAATTTACATGAAAACTTTGTCATACATTTAAAAGGAATAGCAAGTTGTACATAGTAAATTTGCAGTTTCAAGTACAAACATCTTTTTTTTATTATATTATGTTATGGAAATGCTTATTTTATTCCACAAATTAAAAAAAAAACTCTAGAATGTGACTGTGATGGGCTGAAGAAAGGGGTTGTGCTTTTTTTTTTTTAATTTTCCCTCCAGATTTATGTGTGGAACGTTTTCATTATTTCCAAGAATTCTTATTTACTTTTTTAAAAAAAATGTGTTTACCACTCAGCTTTCCAGTGCTGGAGAGAGTGACTGTTGCTAGCACCACACTATAAATCAAACTGAGAAATTCTGCAAATTACCAAGGAAAATAATTGCTGTTCACTTGCAAAGAGGGCTGCTATTCCTCAAATTGCAATGACATCTTGATAATATGTATTTAAACTTATGTGCATGCTACCTTTGATTCCTCTTTCACTGGGAACCCATCTACATTTTTAATTTGTAACTTGTGGCTCTAATTCAGATGGAGTTGTACAATTTGCAAATCTATCACTTGTATAATCTTTAAATAATAGATACCCAACTAAATATTTGATCTCTTCATTGAAGCAAACAAGGAGAGGCTTTTTTCCTCTCCTAGCCAGAGGATGGGAGAAAGATTTATAAAAATTAGGTTCCCAACATTTTTTGGTATTTACCCTTTTCCAACAAATGTTATCCCCATCACTGGAAGTGCACCTTGGTGTCAGTAGATCCCAGTCATTTATATTTGGTTTGGGAATGAATTTGGGGATTATTGTAAGAATGTGGCTCTGTCTGACTTTCTGCGTTCTCATGTGAATAAAACAACTTAGGAAGAAAAGTCAAGCCATTTAATACTTCACCAATCCCAGTTCTGTCATTTACTATGTATGGGCTCCAGTTTTCTCTTCTGTAAAATTAGGAAGGGCAGCTAGGTGGCGCCATAGTGGATTGAGTGCCAGGTCTGGAGTCAGGAAGACTCATCTTCCTGAGTTCAAATTTGACCTCAGACACTTACTAGCTGTGTGACCCTGGGCAAGTCACTTAACCCTGTTTATCTCAATTTCCTCATCTGTAAAATGAGCTGGAAAAGGGAACTGCAAACCATTCTAGTATCTTTACCAAGAAAACGCCAAATAGGATCAATAAGAGTTGGACACAACTGAAAATGACTGAACAACATTCTTGGAAAGGGTGCCTTTCCCCCATTTTAAATTCTAGGCCACTGTCTTGCCTCCAAAGACAGAAGCCATTGTCTCTTAGGGAGGACAAGGACAGGTGGCCTCCAGCTCTGCCATGTGGGGTAGGAGAGAGCCCCAAAGGGTGCCAGGCCATGTGACTCCAGCCCAGCAGAGAAAGCTGAGGGTATTTGTGAAGAATGCAAAGGCTAGTGGCTTCAAGGTGAAGATGCCTGAAGTTCATGAGTGGAATGTGAGTCCTAGTTCAAGTCAACTCCTTATGATGAATAATGATTGGATGAAAATGGACCAATAAAATATTCTACTCTAAAAAAAAATACATAAATAACTTTCAGGCCAGCAGAAATTCAGACATCATCTCTCTTGTTAGCTACCAGGTAAGTATCTCCCTATAGACAAAGGCCACCCTGAAAGACAAAGGCTGCTTGGTGCCTATCCTTCCTTATGTACATATTCATATTGAAATAACGGAAGGCCATCCATTAGTCCAGTGCCATCCATATTTTCAATTAGACATACAGGCTCTGTGATGAGCTAAGAAGATGACTCATTCTAAACGAAGCTTTCCTTCATCACTGGCTGAACAGTTGGCTTCAGGGCCTGTCTGATGCCCTGAGGCTATGAGCACAGTGTCTTTCTGCTGCAGTCACACATTTCAGTAAATCAGGAATGTTTACACAGATGAACAGGGGTGTGGACATGGTACATGTGCTAAAAGGTCACTCTAAAAATATCTGCCTTCACAAATACATGTACTCTGAGAATGCTAAGCTGAGGAAAAGATACTGGACCCATTCTCTGTTTCTCTCCATCTAATCTCTGAAGCTTGGAGGAATACAACCAGGAGATATCATTGTCCTCTACCTCTAGATTCAGTCAATAATGTGCCAGGCACTGTGCTAACCACCTGAGATACAAAAAGTGGCAAAAGACAATCCCTTATAGTAGTTTACAATCAAATGGAGGAATTCACAGTCTAATGGAGGAGCTCATAATTTAATGTTTTGGGCCCACTGATGGTAGTCAGTGGGAAAAGATGACAGGAATACAACAGAAAACACAAATGGATTTGGAATCAAAGGACCAGGGAGTCAACTCCCACTCTGTCAATAACTGTGTACAAGCTTGCTTGGGCAAATCCCTTTTCTACTCTGGGACTGTTTCTTTATTTAGAAAATGATGAACTATGTGGCCTTCCCGCAACTAGGTGGTAGAGTGAATAGGGTACTGGACATGCAGGGAGACTCCTGTTCAAATCCCAACCTGGAGATTTACTAGCTATGTGAATATGGGCAAGTCATTTAACCACCTTCAGCCTCAGTTTTTTCATCTGTAAAATGGATCTAATAACAGCACCTACCTCAGAGGGTTGTTGTAAGGATCAGATAAAATGATATATGTGTTTGTATGTGTGTGTGTATACATACACACATATACATATGTATGTGCATACGTATATATGCATATATACATGCATGCATGTGCATTGTGCTTGTATATGTACACACATATGTGAATATTTATATATAAATATATTACATCTATACTTATATTTATACACAAATATTCATATATATGAAATATCTTATTTGATCCTAACTATATATGTACATATGTATACACACACACAAATATATGTTATATCTAAGTGTAGCTATAATATATTTATAAACATCCACATATACAAATGTTATATCTATAAACATAGGTTTCATACATAGTTATGTATTATATATGATGCCATATAAATATTTGTTTTTATGATCATTCGAGTCCTTGGTCCCAAATGCCTTATTTTCCATACCCCATTCCTTTGTCCCTATATCCTTTTCTTCTACTTTGGAGATGCCCGTATCAGATCACACAGCCCTCGTGGTGCTCAGAGGGACAACCTACCTTTGTGAAGTTCCATCGCTGGATGAAATGACGGGCAACATCCCTTGCAGCCTTCCCATGGACGACAGAGCCAATGTCATGCCATGGCATTCGCGGCATGGAATACCTGTCAATGAAATCTACCCAGACACATCAGGCAATAAAATGACAAAGAGCAATGCTAATGTCAGAAGCCCTAGACTTAAGATCTTAACCACCGCCTTTCTTCACGTTGCCTCCCTGCTCCTCCTCCCATCTCTGGGGTTTTGCACGGATGGTCTCCTCCATTTGGAATGCTCTCCCTACTCATCTTTGCCTCTCAGGGTCCCTACCCTCCTAGGCACAGCTAAGACACTCCCTTCTCAACTGTGGTTACTCTAGTCTTCATGAATGTATGTTACTTTGTCCCTCTTTGTTACTTACTTACCTGCATATTTGTTCTTTTCCCCAGTAAAATGTAACTTCCTTGAAGGCAGAGGCTGTTTTGTTTTGGGGTGTGTGTGTGTGTGTGTGTGTGTGTGTGTGTGTGTGTTTGTATTCCCAGATACTGGAGCGCTCAGTTGTTCAGCTGTGTCTGACACTCTGTGACCCCATGGACGTGTCCATGGGAGTTTTTTCTTGGCAAAGATACTGGAGTGCTTTGCCATTTCCTTCTCCAGTTCGTCCACATTTTACAGATGAAGAACTGAGGCAAATGTGACTTGCTCAAGTAAGTGACTTGCTCAAGGTCACACAGCTAGTAAGAGTCTGAGGCCATATCTGAACTCAGATCTTCCTGACTCCACGCCCTGGTGCTCTATCCACTGCACCACCTAACTGCCTATGGCGCTGCGTATAGAAAGCCCTTAATTAACATTTGTTGAATCGAATTTCCCTGGCTCAGATGTACCAAAGCTTGGCTTCCACCAGGTCAAGTAAATGGCCCTTTAATGCTATTCCTTTAACTATTTTATATTTCCACTTTTCTCTCTTAGATAATAACAGATAATCACCAGCTATGATACAAAATTGAGCACATACTAATTATCTTAGGACTCTGTGCTTGATATATTTTTTTCTTTTATCATGTTGAAGTAATGGTAGGTCATTTGGAAAGTGCCATCTATTTTTCCAATTAGACATCCGATGAGTCTGAGATGAGTGACAAAGATGACTCATTCCAATAAAAGGAAAACGAAGCTTTTAAAGTCTGAATTAAACGAGGCATGATCACTTGAAGAATTCCATCTTTGGGGAACACAACTCCTAAGATCATAAAGGCAGAGCTGTAAGGGACCTCAGAAGTCATCTAGTCCAATTCCCTCATTTTACAGATGAGGAAACTGAGGCCTGAAAGATTAAGTGTCTTACCCAAGGTAACACAAGCTATAAACATCAGTGGTGGGATTAGAACCCGGGTTCTCTGATTCCTTTTCCAGGGCTTTTTCTATTATACCAAGATACATTGTAACATAATGACATTAAGAGGGAATTCAGTAGAAATATCTTCTGAACTATATGAACCATGTAATTTCTTACTGGGCAGCTAGGTGGTGCCATAGTGCACATAACCGAGTTCAAAGACCCTTTACTAGCTGTGTGACCCTGGGCAAGTAACCTCACTCTGTTGGCCTCAGTTTCCTCCTCTTTAAAATGAGCTAGAGAAGAGGATGGCAAACCACTCCAGTATCTTTGCCAAGGAAACCCCAAATGGGGTCATGAAGAGTTGAACACAACTGAAAAATGACTCAACAGCACAATTTCTCACTGTCAACATAGAACTACTATGAAAAGACTTGATTCTGTCATAGCACAAACAAGACCCTGTGGAGCAGGGGTGCGCTAGTAAAAAATTTAACAACCAGCTCTTCAGGGAAAATGTACACATGACACACTTTTAAGTTTAACCTACATTATTAACATTTTCTTAAGCCCAGACAATCGACAGAATGATAAAGTGAGCCCTTACTTAATGGTGTTGGTGATTTCTAAGGCATAAATGCTCACAATGAAAATGCACCAATCGCTCCTTGTGGATCTAGGAGCTTCATTTCAGTTTTGAGTTAGGATACCCGAGGCAGAATCTCACTTCACGTATTTACTAGCTGTATGGTTATGAGTAAATCACTGAGTCTCCATGATCCTCATTTCCCCCATCTGTAAAATGGGACTTCCTAAATCACAGTTACCATAAAAAGGCACTTTGCAAACTTTAAAACACAGGGCAGGGGCTGTGATACAGAATTACTTCTATTCCCTTCATCATAATGCCTCACATGGGAGGTTAAAAAATATTTGTTGAACTGAATACTTTTGAGTTGCTAAAAGTGAGGATCTCTTCAGGATTTGTACCTCCCCACCTTTCCTCTGCCCCTCAAATGTCTTTGTATTCACTTTATACACATTTATATTAGCAGCTACATGGCACGGTGAATAGAGCACCAGACCTGGAGTCGGGAAGACCAGAGTTTTGGCCAAGTCACTTCACCTTTGTCTGCCTCAGTTTCCTCAATTGTAAAATAGATAATAACACCAATCTCCCAGGGTTGTTGTGAGGATCAAATGAGATAATATTTGTAAAGTGCTTAATGCAGTTCCTGGTACATTGTAGGCACTTAATAAATGTTTATTCTCTTCCCTTATTCCCCTTATATATGCATATCTTACCACTGTCCTAATGTGTCTTTTAGGGAGCCAGAGGAAAGGACACCAAATCTGGACTCAGAGAAACAGGGTTTAAATCTTATCTCTGATGCTTCCTACCTGAATCCGTCAAATGAAGGGATTGAACTGGATGACTTCTGAGACCCCTTCTAACTCTCAATTTATGATCTTATTTTTCTCCCTGATATATTATATTTTCTACACAATATATTCTGAAAGAACATATTTTATATATAATATGTTCAAAAAAAGTTAGATATAATATATTCTGATGGAATACATTTTATATATAATGTATTCTGATAGAATATACTTTCCTTGGTGAAATATATTATATATCATATTTTATACATAGAATATATTACATGTAATATATTCTATATAAAATAAATTTTGTTCTACATATAATATATTTTATATATAGTATATTTTGCATATAATCTACTCTATATACAAACTCTGAGGGAATTAATTCTTGATCCTGTATTTTGTATTTGATTTTATTCTGTAACCATTTTCTTCTGAGAGAAGACATTTAGGTGTGCTAAAATTCAATCTCTCCCTCTCTCTAGTTAGATATTAAAAGTTAAGCTTTCCCACAATTGCTGCCAGATAAAGAAAAACTCTGTTCTCCAAACTCTCACAAAACCTGATCTCAGCATTTCCTGCAAGGCTTGTGGAGTATCTTGATAGCTAGGACAACCTGACCTTTCCCCATCTTTAACAATTAAGGTGTTCTTATCTAATTCCTTAGTTACCTAAAAGTCTGCCCTTATCAGAGACTTCAGGATACAGTTAGGACCTGTAAGTTTACAAAGACATTCCTTAGAGATAGAGAGAGGTGGTCCTCATGACATGTGGGGGTTATTCCTGCTTCCTATGATGCAACCAATAATGATTTTTTTCATCTCTGTGATGCTGGACAATTAGATAATTTCTGTTGTGTTCTCTGTTCTATGCTTATAAAAATGTGTTGCACCCTCAATTCAGGGTCTTCTGGACAGAGGTGGGGCCATTTGAACCACTTTTATTATCAGATCACATGCCCCTGTTAGTAAATGATAGCTTGCTCAGAGAATTGCCTCAGTTTATCCTTCTGGTAAATTTCAGTTGCAACAGCTCCTTGAGGTCAGGGACAATTTGTTTTTCCTTTGTATCCTGTGGGCTCATGCCAGCTAAATGCAAGCACTAGCAGAGATTCTCCAAGATGGACTGGCTTTGGCATGGGCCTGGTGATAGCATGGGCTCATGACCAGCCCTGTAAGTCTGGGAAATCTTGTCACTGATTAAGATGGTGTTGCCATCTGCAACAGTAGAGGGAATGCCCACATTAGTGAACTGGCTCTTTCAAAGTTTTCAAGTTGACCTTGTCTACTTCCACACACTCTAAAAGGTTGTTGGACTTTTGAATGTGTAAAATCCAAATATTAAAGGCAACATAACCACATTAGCAAGTGTTACATTTGTAAATGTTCTCTTTACTACACATATAAAGAGGAACAAAAAATCTCACAAGTTCAAGCCAAAATGCATACCCTGACCCCCACCCCAGCTTATACCAGACTGCAGAGACACTCACCAGCAAAGGGTTTATCCAGCTGAACCCAATCTTTGAAGACAAAATTACAATAGTCCTTTCCATGCCAGAATCGAGTTTCTCCATGGAGCTCTCCAACACCTGTCTGCAAACTACGGATGGACCCCATGTCTGCAAGATGCAGCAGAAAGCGTGCTGTCAGATGCTCACTAAGACAGGTCTCAGAGACAGGAGTCCTGTCCCTTACTATCAGGGTTTCTCAATTTCTTGTGTGTGTCATGGACTCCCCTTCCCACTTTGGCAGTCTAATAAAGCCTAAGGACCACTTCTCTGAATATTTTTCTAAATTAATAACTGAAGGAAATACTAAATTTCAGTTATAGATTAGTGAAAATAAAAATATAATTTTCTTTCCATCCAACATCATGGAAGGCCTGAAATCTACCCTGTGGGTGGTGCCTGTGGACCCCAAGATAAGACTCACATAAATGATGCCACTGAAAGGAGAAGACAGCCCTGGAATTCAGGGGTTGGTAAAGGTGGAGATGGGAAAATTTAGCGAAATTAAGGAATTTATACTACTGGAACACCCAGAATTGGTGCAAAGAAATTTTAGAGAGGGGCCCCAAGAAGAGGCAGGAGAAGATTTTAGCAGGAAGGGGTAATCCCAGTAATAATACCTGATATTTATATAACTAAAAGTACACAGTGTGCTGTAGCAGAAACAATGTCAGATCTGGTTCTGCTAATGACTAGCTGTGTGACTTTGGATAGGACACTCATCTCTCTGGGATGAAATTGCTCCACCCGTAAAATGAATAAGGCGGGTTCACAAGATGACCTCTAAGGTCCTTGTGGCTTTTCTACCTATGATCCTATCTCCTTTCAGTTAAAAAAAAAAAAAAACCCACAAAAACAAAACCTCTGTGAATAAAAACGGTGGTGAATAAAAAAGGAGCTTTAAAACTCTTACAAGCTCATAAAAGTAAAGAAGTAGTTGCTTCTGTAAAAAAAGGGATTCTTCCATCCTAACTTTTAATCCTTTACTCAAACCATGGGACTTGAGTGTGACGTTCAGCGATTAGTGAATTATTGACCGAATCCATTCTATTGAATTGTCGATATGGCTGCTATTGCCTCATAGAAGCCAACACGTTTTCCGGCACCTGTTCAGCTGCTAAGAATCCACTACATGCTATTTGTAAGCACAGGACTAACTGGAGAATATTAGATAAAAATAAAAGAAAGTGTGTTAGGAGGGGAAAAAAATCAGAGTCAATAAGGGAGTTAAAGCTTTCTCAATAAAGAAAAAGTGTGTGAAATGACTGATGGATGGGGTTTGTCTTTACAAACATGTCAATGTGTAAGGGTCTCAGACACAGAACACTAGATCTTCTGCTTGTCAGTAATCCATGAAAATTAATGGCAGCAACAGACAAAAGCATATGGCAGCAGCAGCAGCACATGACAACGTGGGGCAGAGATTTTTTGCAATATTCTTTTGCAAGGGTTGCCAGAATTATACCAGAGGCAATAGATTGAGATAAATGACCACTGAAGTTTATAGCACAAGTGCAACAGAAAAGCAACATGTCAGGGAGTAGGGCAGAATTATCCACAATAGCCAGGGTAACTTGAATTAGTCAATGAGGGCACAGATTAAGATAATCATTATACCAATTATTAGTGTTCTCTTTTAGGTTGACTACCCAAATCCTTTAGGATATCTACGGACAAGCACAGGTTAGTGGAAACCCAAGATGAAACTGAGAAGCAGAGTAATCTAGTGGATAAATTTTGATCTTGGAGTTAGGAATACCTGTGTTTAAATTATGCTTTCTGATTGGGCAAATCATAGTTAATGTCCCAGGAAATGCTTTAACTAGTTAACTAGCTATAAGGTAAACTATAAGTTAAAGGCAAGACCTAGATCTGTGTTGAGGGAGGAAGTTTCCATAATGCGAATTTCCTATACTAACACAAGGCTAAAATGGACATTTAAATAAATTATTATAAATTATTTCAAGTATTAGCCACCACAACTGTCACTCAACAAATGTTTGAACTGAATTGTTTCATTTCCATAAGTACAAATGTTAAAATGCTAGTGAATACATTTTTTTTACTAACCTGTATAAGAAACAAGAAATTTGGTTTAAAAGAAGGCCAAAAAAAGACTAATGATGGGGTAAGCCTAAGAGGAATTCTCCTAGTAGAAGGTAAGCTCCTGGGGCAGCTAGGTGGCACAGTGGATAGAGCAGTGGCCCTAGAGTCAGGAGAAGAACTGAGTTCAAATCCAGCCTCAGACACTTGACACTTAACTAGCTGTGTGACCATGGGCAAGTCACTTAACCCCATTGCCTAGCAAAAAAAAAAAAAAAGAAGAAGAAGAAGAAAAAGAAAAGCTCCTGGAGGGTAAGCACTCCCTCATTTTTGCATCTGTAGCCCTATCACCTGGCACAGGGCTTGGCTTATAATTAGCACTTAATAAATATGTATTGATTAGTTGCTTCTCACTATTTCATTTTAATCCAACAGAGAAAATCCATTCGGAAGCTGTGAATTAAGAAACATAAGCACACACGTGCACAAACGCTAATTTTAAAAGGTTAAATTCAGTCAACCAGTTATCTGCAGGGAATCAAATCCATCAAACACGTCATTTCAATCGAACAAGCAGATTCTACCTGACTCCAGCCAGGAGTCATGGCCCGTATCACATCAAAACACATCTGATTCATCATCAAATAGACCCCAAATTCAACCTTTAGAACTAATCAACCACTCTACAATTTCATGCTTGGAGCCTGGTGCAACATGGCACCAGATGAGAGGCTAGTGGTAGGGAGAACTTCATATGAAGCTCCCTCTTTCTTCCTATTTCCCAACTTCTTTATTATTTCATATAGTTATGGGAGGAGGGGCTACACCCATGACATCCTTGCTCATCTTTCTGCGGTCCCATTAATCAGACGCATCTTGTTGCTTTACCACACTCCCTCCCGCTCCCCTGTTCAGGTGCCCAGTCTCTTACGGGTTTTCTGGGTCCTGGCACATGATGATGTCCATTGTGGACAATGAGGCCACACCTGAGCTTTGATTCTGACACAATGGGAGTGAAGGTGTAGTAGAAAAATCCTGAATGGACAGTTAGGAAACCTGAACTCTGGTCCCAGTGCTGAGCCTACCTGGCTTTGGGATAACCTTGGGCAAGACATTTAAAGTGTCTTGGCCATTGTTTTCACATGTACTGAGTGAAAAGCTTGGACTAGATACCCTCTAAGACCACTTTCACTTCAACGATTTCATGTCCATGTTTGGGGGAAAATTGTTAGTCTTCATGTTAAGATCTATTTGTTAAGAGATGGTGAGGTAGAGAGAAGATGCCAAGGTCAAAAAGTCAAGATAGGTATAGATAGAAAGATGTAGATATAATTTAATCTATACATACGTACAAGAAAGCATGATAACCTAGAATAACATTTTCTTCTGAACATAAACACTGAGAAAGACAAAAATTTCTCATTTTCTGTTATTCACTTCCTTTCCTTTTCTCCTCCTCCACTTCTTCCCTTCTTCCTTTTCTTCTTTCTTTTTCTTTCTTTTTTCTTTTCTTCCCTATTCCTATTTCCTTCTTTCTCTCTCATACACACACACACTTTTATTATTTAACAACTGTATCTTTCTGCAGTGACTCCATCAGGGCAAGGATTTGCAAAAGAAAAAGGAAGGACTCCAACCAAAGTCTAATGGAATTTTACCCAATGGGGATGCAATAAATTAGTGGGTGGTATTGTTCTAAATCATCTTTATCTCTGCAGTAACTTTCCCTAGGTGCTACATAGACTGAAGGAGATTAAAAAGTTAAAAATTTCAAAGCACAAATATCTTTTAAGGACAACTTTCCCAGATTAGAGTAGGACATCTCCTAGCATAACTGTCTATAATGGAAAAACATAGCCATGGAAAAACTCTTATCCATGTTTCTTAATACTTTCCATTCTAATTAATATGAGCAATACAGCTTTAAATTCATGCATGGTCTCATCTCAACACAGCCCACAATCAGGACTGCTCTTTATCCACTCAAAACACACATAGTGAAATATATGTAATATATTTCAGTAATAAAGATCTTAAAGTATGATACTTCCCCTTGGCTTCTGGGAGGTAACTATCTTGATTTTTCTTTTATCCAATGCTCCTATTGACCTCAGTAGCTTGTTTTCATCAGTGGCTCCTCTTTCTTCTTCCAATATCTACATGGGGATAGCTCTAAAGAGACCATCTTTGATGGTCTTTTCTTCTTTTCCCATATTCCTTCCTTCAGCGACTTTATCTACTCACTTTGTCTCAGCGATCAACTCTGTCAGTATGTCTCCCTAACTATATACCCAGCCAAACTTCTCTCTCAAATTTCAAGCCTTAATTTTCAATTGGATGTCCTGTACACGTCGCAAACTCAACATGTCCGAAGTATAACTTACTGTTTTTCCCCTGCAATCCACACCTCTTATGAGTTTCTTTATTTCTGTACAGGGCACCACTATACAACCTTACCAAATTCTTTGACTCTTCAATCTCATTCATTCCATCATCCAGTTTCCATCTCCACCCACCAGTGACTGAGTCAGCCTTAGAATAGAGTTATCCCCATGGGACCAGGAAGCCAGTATGGAGGTGGAGCAGGCCAGAGAGTGAACCAGAAGTAGAGAGTGAGCAGTATGAATGGGTCGTCTCAGAATGTAGCACTTCCAGGCAGTCATTGAGACACCCCAGGTTGGAGTCATCCCGGGAAGCCAAGTAGCCAGTGTGTAGATAGAACAGGATCCAGAGTAAGCCGGAAATAGAGAGTAAACTCTAAACTCCCATTGTAATTTACACTATTTATATATATAGATAGATAGATAGATAGATAGATAGATAGATAGATAGATTTTTTTTTTTTGCTTTTTGGTGAGGCAATCGGGGTTGAGTAACTTGCCCAGCGTCACGCAGCTAGTAAGTTTCAAGTGTCTGAGACCGGATTTGAACTCAAGTCCTCCTGACTCCAAGGCTGGAGCTCTATCTACTGTGCCACCTAGCTGCCTCCAACTATTACTGTTTTTAAGGTTCCTATAATTTACTACCTCACATCATATTGTTCCTACTTCCTGCCCTCAAGGACTTTACAATCTAATGACTATACTCTGACAATTACCCCTCTCATACATAGAGCTCTCAGAATACCTACCCCCTGCTCAAGGTATTGTCAGTAAATATCCACTAAAAACAATAGCTCATGAGCCATCTTTGGGTTGACTTTTTCTTTAGTCAGCCAGAATGAAATCAAAAGCATAGAAGAGTATTTTAAGGAGACTAATGTGGTCACTACTTTGCACAGGGGCAGCTAGATGGTGTAGTGTTTAGAGCACCAGGCCTGGAGTCAGGAAGACTGAGTTCAAATCTGGTCTCAGACACATTCTAGTTGTGCGACCCTGGGTAATTCACTTAAATCTGCCTCAGTTTCCACATCTGTAAAATGAACTGGAGAAGGAAATAGCAAACCATTCCAGTATCTTTGCCAAGAAAACTCCAAATGGGGTCACGGAGAGTCAGACACGACTGAAATGATTCAACAAGAACAAAAACTTTGTCCAGAGATCAGCACACGTTTGCTGAACTAATGAAGAAGTTTCTCTAGCCTCCTCTAGTAATAATTTTAGGTAGGTAACAACCTTGCTGTAAGAAAGTTTTAACTGAGAAATTAAACCTTTAAGCTAAAAAAATGGTTTTTTTCCCCCTAGTCAAACCAAACATATCTACTCTTGCTCAAATTAAAACGTTTAGCAAATTGTTTCTGAATGAAGAAGCACTAATGAATCAATTCTTTACACAGAAATAACATCAAGGAGACTGAGCTTCTCCTGAAATCACATAAATTCAGGTGGAAAAACAACGCATGGAAAATAACAGGTGAAAGAATGATTTAAGAGACCACAGTATTTTTTTTTTTTTTACAGGAATCTGCTATGGTCACCAATCCCCTATTAGGATTAATTACGGTCTAGTTTTCTGAATGCTGAGTCAGCAGGAGATTTCACAGCCACATTCCATCAATGAAAACAACCCTTAAGATGTACTATGTGATTCATTTATCAGGTTACTATGCATCCAACTGAAACCAATGCTGTAGAGCAGCCAAGCCTGTTCATGTCAACATGAATGGAACTCGATTCTCCTGATTTGGAATGAGAACACTTGATTTTTAACCCTAATTCTGTGACCTTGGACAAGCCACTTTTCCTCAATGGGACTCAGTTTCCCCACCTATAGGATGAGGGAGTTGTACAAGATAGCCCCTAAGGTCCCTTCCAGGTACCAAGCTATGATCTTGTGATCAACTCTAGCAAGGACCCAATTTTAAATCTTAGAAAATATTGTCCACGTCTAGACTCGGACCTCATTGGGTTAATGAGTTTCAGTTTTTTAGGGAGGGAATTATTCACCGGTGCTGGGAAGGCAGCATTCCTCAATGCTAACTCTGTCACAGAATCAGATTTAGAACTCAAAGGGACCTCAGAGGCCATAGACTAATCCCTTCAGTTTATAGATAGGGAACTAAGGGGTTAAATGAGTTGTCCAAGGTCCCACAGGTACAAAGCTAGGATTGGTACCCAGCTCCTCTGACTCCAGCTTCAATGCTTTTTTTTCACTTAAGCCACTACCTGCTCTCTACCTCCCATCAGTTGAATCCCACACATCTGTCTGAAGAACACTCTTTAAGTGAACATTGCTACTGACTCCTGACCTCTTGGACTCATGTTCAAATCTCTAAGTTCAACCAGCAGTCACTCATTTTCTTCCTCTCTCCCCAACACCCAGTCCCGTCTTCAGCGCTGATCATCAAACATTCTTCTTTAGCCTTCCTTAGACAATTATCTTCATGGACATGGGTTGAGTGTAAGAATCAAGTCTTCACCACATCAATCCAATCTGCCTCTGAGATCTTGATCCCTTCTGGTCCTTTTCCAAGCCCAAGCTACTCCTCTTTCCACAGCGTTGGGTTTTCATTCAAAGCTCCAGGAACTGACTCGCTTCATAAGTACCCAGATCATTCATTTCCTTCTGACTCCATGATTTCTCACATCTATTTAGCTTGCCATGGTCTACAATTTGAATGTTGTCCTCACAAACATCATAAAAATGACAAAAGGAGAAACATTGCTATTTGTGTCTGGATAAATGGAAGTCTGTCAATCTCAGAAAAAGACAATTGAAATATCTTTTTTAAAATATATATTCAAATCTGCTGCTAACAAATACTGCTTATTTGAACCTAAACAAGTCAGTTACCTTCTCTGACTGAGCCCAAGCAACTCAAAGACTTATCTATTGCATTACAGATCTACATAGAGGATACTGGGGAAATCCTTGGAATTTTTATTATATTACAAACTCCCAGGAGGCAGAAACCACATCACATATATGTTGGTTTCTTAATAGTAACCAGCAAAGCATTTGGTACGTAGCAGCCACTCAACAAATACTTGGCAAATGAATGAATGAATGAACACTGCATGGATAGCGTACCGATTCAGAAACACTGCACACTCATGGTGACTGCACAACAGGCAAGAACAAACAGCCAACGGAGAACCTTTTGCCTGCGTCCCCCTTCACTTACCACCTCCAGAGTCTGCGAGTCTTTGTTCCGACTCGCTGGAATGATGCAAGAATTTGAAGTGGGGCTTTAACCCTCGAATTAAATGCTGGCGACTTCTACAGTGATTAAAATAACCTGGGGAAAGTTGAGACGCTCTTTTTTACAAACAGACAGATAGCAACAGATTTGCAAACTAGGAACTAAAGATCAATACAAAATGGTCTGGGCTTTTTGTTGGGTGGTTAGCTTTAAGACTTGGTTAGAAATTATGTTATTGATCCATGATTTCAGGGAACCTTTGGAGTATAAATGACTGAGCTCCAGAACAGATAATAAATTGATGAGTTGCAGAGAATCTCAAATGGGCATCTAATGCACCCTTACTAGCTGATGAAAGAATCGTCAATATTCTTTGGCCAAGCCTGGGAAATTCTCTTGATATACCCGCTGGCTCTTTTGTAACTTCACGTTTTTGGTGTAGTACCCTGACAGTCCTCAATGATTCTGCTACCATTAAGGCATGTGTGCACACACACACGCACGTGTGTGTGTGTATGTATGTATGTGTATGTGTACACCTTCTAGTCTTGACAATTTGGGGCTGGAAAAAACATCAACTGATTTGTTTCAAAATGAAGCATCAGTCCTGGGGAATGTAATGATACCAGGAAGGAAAGTATATGATGGGATGTTGGTATGTTACTCTACGGGGAGGTGGGCAAACAAAAACAGAGCCTGTTGCTATAGAAATATGAATGGTCAGAGAGGCCATGGAAAGGATGACCACCGTTCAAACATACAACCTTCCTCTCAGTACTGAAGTGGTAGACTATAGGTATAGAATATTGTGTATTCTCTCAGTCATGATAGCTGTACTGGATGATTGTACTTAAATGCCTTTTCTTTGTCATCTGTTATAAGGAAGGTACCAAAGGGACAGGAAATTATTGGAAAACAAATACTCAAAAGGATCTGTGATTTCAATGCTGCAGATGGTTAAGTGAATATGGTATAAAAAGAAAAATCATTAATAAAACGATTTTTTGGTTTATTTTTGGTTTGGATTTTTTTTTTTTAAGGAAAGTTCACAGAAGACGAGGACCAGGACTTACTTGAGGCACTATCAAGGCTGCTGAGGCTATCGGCATTTTCCAGGTTGTTCCGGTATAGCTGCCGGTAAAGGCTGAATTTGGAGAATTTCCTTGCTTTCCCCACACCTTTCATTCTAGAGTCAGAATCATCAGTGCTTTTTGGGAATGGGAGATTGGTTTTAAGTTCTTTATTCCCTTTGAGGTTTAAGGCTTCACTGGATTCTCCCATCTCCCCCTGCGGACAAAAAACATGGGCAACACTTTTTAAAAGATGCTAAAAATGGGGTGTTGTGACAAGGACCCCCGCCCCACCAAGTCAAACCTGGCTAAAGCAGAGCATCTATAACTTGGGCTCCCAAACAGCTGCCCCAGAGAAGTTCAGAGAGCAGCTACTGACCACATAGCTCTTTCCAAGAACAGATTGGAATGTTGTAATTTAATAAAACAAATCTAGTAGAGTTATGTTAATAATTAATAGTTACTAATTATTGTCCTTCCTTTTGCTTTAATGTGTACCTACAGTACTTAGTACATTGCCTGACACACCATAAGCACTTAATAAATTTGTCTGTCTGTCCTTCCTTCTTCCTTCCCTCCTTCCCTCCCTCCCTCCCTCCTTCCTTTCTTCCCTCTCTCCCTCCCTCCTTCCTTCCTTCCTTCATTTTCCTTCTTCCCTCCTTCCCTTCCTTTGTTCCTTCCAATATAACTTGCATTCACTTGTAACTAAAGAAAACTTGCTGAACATCTCTCCGTATCTTACTGTGAGGGAAAACGTTGACTGTCCCACAGTGACTCGTTTGACGCTGCCCACATCAGTCAGTCTGTGTTCATTGTCATCCCATCTTCCATAGGCCAAGTCTATTCCACCAATAAATGCAATTGACTGGTCTATAATAACAAGTTTCTCATGATGAGCCCACAAATACACAGTGGAAGAAACATGGTCTGGGTGTCTCATCACCTGAAGGAAAAATAAGTCAACAAATGGAAAAGGCTTTTCACAAACAAAGCTTATGCTTCTCCTAACATATTACAGTTATAAAATAGATGTACAGTTAACAGACCCAGAACTGAAATATGCTAGGTAAATTTTGTCAAAGAAAATAACTTTCATTATCAATGTTCAATAGTAACAATTGATAGTTACATAGCATTTTGTGGCTTACAAATCAATTCACATATTTTCTCATCAATGGAGGGAAATTATTGGTACCTACCCTTTTCACATGCTCCCTGGCATTTCCAAAAATTTGAGGTTTGGCCATTCCTAGTGAAACTTTGCCTATGTATAAATATGGTTCAGGAAAATTCAGCTTCATTTCATAGCTACCATGTTTTCCCTTTTATCAAAGGAAGGCATTTTATATATATATATATATATATATATATATATAAACTAAAGCTTGAATGTTTATTACATATATTTAACAAGGAAAAATCTTACCAACTGTATTAATTACAGAATTATTTAGTTGAAAAAAATTTTGAGAAGCCATTCTCTTAGTGGGTAGTATTCTTGACTGGGAGTCATGAATACCTGGCTTCAACTCCCACTTTCAATGAAGTCAAGAAGCATTTCTTAAGCACCTACTATGTGCCAGACACCAGGCTAAGTACTAGTGATGCAAAGAAAGGCAAAAACAGTCCCTGCCCTCAAGGAGCTCACAACCTGATGGGTGGGGGGGGGAGGGAAGAACATGCAAATAACTCTATGCACATGACAAATACAAGATCAATTGGAAATAATCTCAGAGGGAAGGTAAATATGTGACCATAGACAAGTCACTTGAACTTGTCTGAGTGGTAGTCTCTTCATCTGGAAAACTGGGATAAAATAAGGCACTCTCTCAGGGCGTGCTCGGAGGTTCCAATGAGATAATGTATGAGAAGCACTAGACAAGTATGAAACTAGTCCCATATAATACTAATTGTTCTTGCTGCTGATGGACCTTAGGCAAGTGACTTAAACTTACACTATTTTCATCTGTAAAATGAGAGTGTTGGACTTGAGGGCCAAAGACCATGATCTCATAATACTGTAGACTAACATTTTGTTGTTGAGTCATTTCGTTGTGTCTGACCCTTTGTGATCCCACGTGGAATTTTCCTGGCAAATGAGATACTGTAGGAGTTTGCCATTTCCTCCTCCAGTTCATTTTACAGATGAGGAAACTGAGGCAAACAGGGTTAAGTGATTTGCCCAGGGTCACAGAGCTAGTAAGTGTCTACGGCCAAATTTGAACTCAGGTCCTTCTGACTCCAGGGTTGGCACTCTATCCGTTGTGCCACCTATATGCCTGGAGACTAACATAACAAAATATTACTAGGCTCATTGTTTTATGCAACAATAAAGGCAGTCTTACCCTAGTAAAGGAAAAGTGAATGACCGAGACTAGACAATTCAGCTCCAACCCCTGCATCCCAAATTACTTCTGTATGATGTATTCTGATGATTCTCCAAGAGGATTATTTTTTTTAATCTCTGAATCACCAGGTTAGTTGCATTAACCACTTATTTTGTCTGGCTTCATAGTGTCAGGCCACAAAAAATCACTGAAAATGCAACTGACATTGTAATTGTCCAGTAGAACATAAGCTTCTTGAGGGCAGGAGATATTTCATTCTTGTCTTGGTATGCCCAGTGCCTGGAAGTGCTTAAGAAATGATTTTTAAACTAAATTATGATAAAACTAATATCCACAAATGTTTTAAGCCAATATTTGAAAGAAATTAGGTCCTTCTATTGTTTTTCCCCTCCTACCTAATGAAATATACTTTGATCCTGTCTATGTTAACAAGTAGGGGAAACTCCAGATAATTCCGTGAGTCAAGAAGTATGTCAATAACAGGGTCATATTCCCTAATAGCTTCTAATCTTTTGGTACAGAGCCAAGGATCATTCCTATCTCTTATTGCACTGACGTTTTGTACCAGGGAGAGCACAGATGAGGTGTTACTGATAGAAGGACAAGAAAAAATGTCAAGTGGTTTTCCCCACAGAGTTGCTCATTCTAAAAGGGTCCCCTCTTTAACCTTCCCTAACTGATGACCTGTTTGCATGAGAATATCAAGCAGGATGTATGTTCTGATCACCCCAAGAGCATAGGGAGGCCTCAAACTGATATTTAAGGTCCATCTGCTGGAAAATAAATCAAAAATTACTGTCAATGCTAGGAACATGTTGGTGATTCCCATATCACTCAAGTAGCCCCTTAAGACAGATGACAATTGTAAAGAGGCACATTTAGGTTTAATGTCAGGAGAAATTGTCCAACATTTTTTTTCCTTTACAAGATGGAATGGGCTGTCTTGGGAGCTTGTGGGCTCCTATCCTACCATCAGTTTTGCCACTTCACCCTAAAAGTCATGGGGTCCTTCTATCTAATTTGCAAACCAAAACCTCCTTATATGCGTTATCTCTCCATTTAGAATGTGAGATTCTTGATAGCAGGGATGATTTCACTTTCCTGTTTGCATTCCCAGGTCTTAGCACAGTGCTCTGTACATAGTAAGTGCTTAATAAATGCCTTTTTCATTCATCCATCCATTCATACATTCATTCATTCATCCATCCATCTATTCATCTCTCAGTGCAGGTCTTCAAGTAAAGACTGGACGATCACTTGTCAGGTATGAAACGGAGGCAACCCTTGCCAGGGTGCGGTTCGGACTAAGGGGCCTCATAACGCCCCTTCCAACTCTGAGATTCTAAAGAAGTTAGCTCCATCAGCATAGGAACATGGGACTCTCTCTCTCTCTCTCTGTGTCACACACATAGACACACACACACACACACACACACACACACACACACACACACACACACGACTGAATCTGTGATTTCATTAGTCCAGGGAGCTCTCAAGTGGAGAAACTCTCTCTACTACTGCAAGTAAGCACCGTTTCTGAAACTTAAAGTCTTGGAGAACTTCCTGGGACGTTGGGGGATTCGATACCTTGTCCAGGGTCATACAGCCAATAGATGTTAAACGCAAGACTTGAATCTAGGACATCTTGGCTTTTTGGCTGGATCTCTCTCTATTGTGTCATACTGCCTTCCTCTCTCTTTCTAAAAAATAATTTTCAGTGTTTTTTAAAAAGATGCACACAGTGCTCTTAATAGACGATTGTTATTCCTAATGCAAAATATCTGGGAAAGTGCTTTTGAATCCCACATAAATGCAGAGAGACCCTCAACCCATGTTGCAGACCTTTATGTTGGGGTGCAGGCGCATTAAAGTCCTCTTGCTGTATTCGCTGTTGATGCCAAGGGCTAGTTCAACCTCTTTGTAGAGCATCACGAATATCCTCACCCCTTGTTGCTATTAAAAAAGAGAAAAGAAAAATAACTGGTGTTCTCAGTGGAAAGTGCCCCTCTCCAGCTCATTTAAAGTCTTTGGCCATTGGGAGCCAACCCATCTTTCTCCTTCCATGCTAGGTTCCAGGCAAAGTGGACAACCTCCTGTTTCCCATACATGACATTTCATTTCCCACCTCCATAACTTTGCGTAGGCTGTCTAGTCTGCCTGGGTTACTCTCCTTCTTCACTTCAGCCTCCCAGAATCCCTGGCTCCATTCTGGGTTCAGCTCAAGGGCCACATTTGTCACAAAAATTTTCCTGATCCTCCCTATTGCCAGCATCCTCCCCACTCCCTGCCCAGTATTTAATTTATGTATATTTTGTATTTATTTATATGTACAACTTGCTTTGCTACCTCAATAGCACTCATGCTACTTGAGGGCAAGTACTGCGGAAAAGTCTAATTTTATTAATATTATTAGATACAATATGAAACAAGAAGAGGGTATATGCAGATTTAAAGCCCTATGAAATTACTTGAATGAGTGATATGAATTGTATTAATGTTCACATTTGTACAGTGCTTTCAGTATTTTCTTGAAGTTTACAACCATCAGTACTGGAATTATTATCCCCATCTAACAGCTGGAAAGACTGAGGCATGAAAGGTTAGGTGACTTGCCCAGAGCCCCACAGCTCAAGTGTGGCAGAGGCAGGGCTGGAACCCAATCCATTGTACCACATTACCCATGGTTTTTTTTTTGTTTGTTTGTTTGGTTTTTTTTTTGCTTATAAGGCTTAAAAATAAGTATGATCCAAGGGAACATCAAAAAGAAGTGAATCTAAAGTAAGTTTCATGAAAGTCATCTAGATACCAAAATATTTATTACAAAACTCTTTGTAATAGCAACACCAGCAATAACAAAACAGAAAAAATAAGTGTCTGAGGTTGGATTTGAACTTGGGTCTTCCAGACTCCACGTCCAGATCTCTATCTTCTGTGCCATTTATTTAGGCCACGCCCTTCATTTACAAGTCAGCAAATTCAGGGAAATAAATTGATTCTCCCAGAAGTCACACAGGCAATGATTGTCAGAGGTGGAATTTGAACCCAGATCTTTGGATTCCAGTGATCTTTCCCCAGTTCCACATTCCTCCTATATTTTGGGGTCTTTTCCTTGAAAAGCAATAGCAATTTCAGTCAAACTGGTGTATTAGCAACCCATTTCTCATACATGGTCCTCCATCTCTCATCTCTGTCCCTTTGCCCAAGCCCTATCCCCCATACTTGGAGGCCAATCCCTCTTCACGTCTACCTTTTGGACTTCTAGGTCTCTTCAAGGCTCAGCTCAAGGGCCTCCTCTTCCACTGGGTCTTTCTGATGCCCTAGCTGTCAGTGCTCTCCTGGACCCTATATTATTTTGTATTTACTTTGTATGTGCCTTATACTTGCTTATCTATCTGTGTCCCTCCCTGCCCCTAAAGCTCCCATAGAATGTAAGCCTCCTCTTCCATTCTGTCTTTGTATCCTCGGTACCTTGTATACAAGTAGGTACTTAATAAATGTTTGCTGAATGAATGTGCTATGGTAACTGGAGCTCTAAATAGATTCTGGATGAAGGAGAAGAATAGGTTTGGGGTGAACAAACACAGGAGTGCTGGACGACTGTACAAAGCCTCTGGAACTCATCCCATCAAAGAACAGGCCTATTCAGATATCAAAGGTTGCCCATCTCTATCGATTTCAGAGAGCCTGGGGCCCATTAATGCAAGAATAAACATCCTCCCATGACTGCAAAAGTTCATGGATTTAGTGTGTGACTTTCAGGTGCTAAATTATTCAAATGATGGGTGTTTATGAGAGTATGAAAATGTCAATTCAGTTTTAAAAATTGATGATGCAGATGTTGCCAGGGCCAGGCTAGATGAAGAAAAAGGACAAAGACACCAATGCATCACAAGGGAAATTAATCTAATGAAATCAGCGTTTCCTTGGGAGATTTATGCCGTTATCAGCAATTTAATGATGAGTTTCAGAGAATATGGATTTACATGAAAAGAATAATAAAGGATGATCAGTGTTGGTCACTGTCACCGCCTGAACATCCGGGCCATGAGAAGCAAAGAGAAGCCATGGTAGTAACATAATGGAAGACTGGTCCAAGTGCCCACAAACCCAATGATGATGCAAACACACAAACCCAAAATATAGGGGGAGCTGTTAAGACACAGATATGGCAGACATGGAAGACTCTATATTCTGTGACTCAAACTCCAATCTAGCATTTCCAGTTGCCCATGTCCAAAACTAGCTCTTTACTTCTGATTTCACCCTTTTCTAATCTGTTCCAGCCTCTCCACATTCCAGTTCAAGGGAGGCTCAGTAGTACAGTGGACAGAGTACCAATTTTAGAGTTAGAAAATCTGAATTCAGATCCCAAATTCTGCCATTTATGAGCTGTAGTGCCTTGGGCATGTCACTCTACATTTCTGGCCTCAGTTTCCTCAGATGTTCAAAAAGGGGGTTAGATTAGATTATATCTTAAGCCCTTCCTAGCTCTAAATCTATGCTCCTATGCCACATACCACCATGGGATCACTATTTCTAAAATATTCCTGTGACTACACCCCTTACTTGCTTATCTCCTTCAATATAAAATGTCCCCAGGGGTACACCGGAAGAGAAGAAAGAACACAAGGAGGGAAGGAAAGGTTTGGCAATATTGAGTATAGGGAAAGGAAGAGGAAGAAAAGGCAGAGCACAAGCCAAGAAGGAGATGGCATATAGCAAAGTGTCATCATGGGTCGTCAGACCTGATCTAGGGACTTTAGTGATAAGTTCTAGAAAACAAGAGTCCTTCCAAATCACAATGGAAAGGTTATATGCTTAACTTCCTGGATCAGGATAGAGAAGATGACGATAAAGTTCATGGTAATTATCTTTCTTTGTTTCGCTAGCATTTAGCACAGTGACTAATGTATAATAATGTTTATTGATTAACCAACAGATACATTCACATTCCACTTAGATGGGCTCAGGTATTACTATATGAGGAAGAGTATGCTGAATCGGTAGCTAAGTGGCACCATAGCGCATAGAGCGCTGGGCTCGGAATCAGGAAGACTCATCTTCATGAGTTCAAATCTGGCCTCAGACACTAGCTGTGTGATCTTGCCTCATCTGTAAAATGAGCTGGAGAAGGAAATGGTAGACCACTGCAGTATCTTTGCCAAGAAAATCCCAAATGAGGTCACAAAGAGTCAGACATGGATGAGCAATAACACCAACAGATGTAGTGAATATGGATAGAGAATTGGCCTTAGCATCCGGGAAGATCCAGGTTCAAGTCCTGCCTCTAACACATACTTATTATCAGTGTGACCTTGGGCAAGTCACTTAACTTTTCAGGGTTCTAGGCAACCCTCTAAAATGATGAGTTACGGAGAAAATGTCTATCCATACCGGTATAAGAAGTTCCTTGGTGTTAATTCCTCATATCAGAGAAATCATAGGTCCAATCTTGGTCCCTAGCCCTATTACTATATGTTTATAGATGCACGGGTTCAAATCCCATGTCTGACACTGCTGAGCTGAAGAACCCAGAGCAAGTCACCTAATCTTGATGTACACTAGGTAGCCCCAAGGGCCTTAGATTCCTCATCTCTAACATAGCGTTGAACTAGATGTTCTCTAAGGCTTGTTGCAAAGTTTTTTTCAGTTGGACAAGGCATTTCCATCACACTTTAGGACTTGGGACTGTAATAACAGTTGACGGGATAAGAGGTGTTAATAGAATGCATTATAAAAGATTCATTCCATAGAGTCAAACATTAATGGAGAAAAATGGCACTATGAGAATGAGACTATGAACAAGGAGCATATTGCTTTTTGATAAACTATGAGAAAAATAGGGGAATGATTATATTTCTCTACTAATGTCCTATCCCAATTCTGCCTCATGGCTTGATGGTGACCCTGGCTTCTTGGAGGCTGTGCCAGGGGAACATAGACTGTCACAGGTTTTACAAAGCTGAAAAAGATTGGGGCGGGGGGGGGGGCAGAGACAGAGGATGCAACAGGTGTCTGAAGACTGACTTAGATAAATTCAGAGAAGCCTGTCTCAGAAGGCTGGCCACCAGGAAATGATTTGTGTGTGTGCAAAGAAACTAACAAAAATGGAAACCTTAGAGAGAGAAGTCACTAGATTTACCATGAAGTGGTTCACATGCAGAGAACATCATAGAGCCCCCAAGTACTAAAGTAAGATTACGTTAAAAATCAACAGGAATTTTTTTTGGGGGGGTAATGGGGGGAATACGTCTGTCAAGTACTTACTGCTTTCCGTTTGAGAATATAGTCTAGTCTCCAACGATTTCCTTCTACCACTGGGCGTTTCAGGAAGATTTCTGGACTCAACCTAAAATCATATAATCCCAAAGTTACTCAAATGATCTGTAAAATCAACTGACTTTTGCTTTTGTCTCAATAATGAGAGAGAGAATCAAGAGTAAACTTATCCCTATCCTTCCCTTGGTTGGTAAATAGTCTGGCCCACATATGGTGGCAATAATAATAATAAAAATAATAATAATAATAATAAGAAGAAGAAGAAGAAGAAGAAACAGTAGTGTAACTAAAAGACACGCCATGAGTGACATTCAAATGAATTCATCTAACAATATGGTGCCAAACAAGCATCGAACAAATGGTTATCATTTGTATTTGTTTGGGAGAAATGGAGGTGTTTATCATGGGAGCTCAGGACCGAGTCTTGGCCAAGAGAAATTGTAGAAAGGTTATCAGGGTCATGAGGGTTATAAGGATGTCAAATTGACTAAGCAACACAGATTATGCAAGAAAATGGTAGAAGTTGTACAACATATCCTAGTAGGTTGCAAAACATTTAGCGGCTATTAAATTTCTAGAAAGAAATTACCCAGAACCAGAATTATATACCCAAAGCTCTTTACTTTTCATAAACTAACAGTGAACAAATTATACAAATACATTCCCCAAAATATCCTTGAGAATTCAACAAATAAATTTTATTACAACTGGGGAATTCTTAAAGACAAAAGCACTACCCACAATCATCTGAACATACCTCCCTGAGTGTAGGGATTGTTTCATTTATCATACTTATATCCTCAGTGCCTAGCACAGCGCCTGGCTCGTAATAAACAAATAATAATAATAAATAATAAATTATTTTGTATCAAGCTATAAAAATTTAAGGATAACATTTTCAATAGAGGTAGCCATGCTGAATGTTCAATTTCCAAACTATTTGGAATTAAAAGCTTTTAGAACATAGAGCTTTAGTGAAAGATATCAAACGTATATGGAAACAGGCCAAGGTATATATCATCCATGTCTTGCCTGCTACTCGAGTTGTCCAAATTAAAAAAATAACTTGGGTTGGAAGGGACCTTCCATGTAATCTAGTCCAGATCCCTCATTTTTTATGGAAGAGAAATCATTATGGCATCAGGGAAAGAGCATAAGATTTGGAATCAGGAAGTATTGGTAAATGTTGGGTAGGTGACTTTTTGGTTATAGCAATTTAATTCCCTTCTTTCTCTTCCTTTCCATTTTTTCCTCAATTGACTTCTGCCTAGGTTCATCATTATTTCCAAACTGTACACATTTCTAACTTTGTCCCAGGGCTGGTTCATGATGGGACCAGAGGTGGAAGGCATCTGTCCCTGTTAAGGTGGTCCTGATCCAGTAACTCTCCCATCTCTGTCTTTCTCCCCTAACATATTGGTCCAATCTTTGCTCCAGATCTCAGAGTTATTTTAAGAGGACAAGAATGTTAACAAGTGTAAAAGAATTTGGAGGAATTATGGAGCAGATAGTGCCACCCTCCCTTGAAGGAAGTTGGGGAATCTAAGAGACAGAACTGAGGAAAGAGACCATTGTAGATATGAGAACAACCACTGTTGAGTGTCTACTCCCTAAACTAAGGGCTGAATTTATTTCTCAGTGTTTCTTTGGGCAATTATCAACAACATGAAGGGAGTATAGTTTTCATTTTGCTTAAATATATATGTGGTCAATATCTGATTTTATCCTTGGGGAAATGTTAATCTCTGGCAACCAGTGTCCAAAGAGATTTTCCTTTAACTAATATGGAGTGTGGGGTAGAGCAGGGAAGATTTAACCTGTGGATATATTTTAAAGAGGGGCATCTACGTAGCACAGTGGATAGAGTTCCAGGCCTGGAGTCAGAAAGACTCACCTCAGACACTTACTAGCTGTGTGACCCTGGACAAGTCCCTAACCCTGTTTGCCTCAGTTTCCTCATCTGTAAAATGAGCTGGAGAAGGAAATGGCAAACCACTCTGGTATCTTTGCCAAGAAAACTCCAGATGGGACCACAAAGAGTCGGATATGACTGAACAGCAACACAGCAACCTTGTTACTTCATTGTTAGACCCCATAGTGGGTCTTAATATGATGTGGATGGGTCTGTAGTGTCCAGCATCACTGCTATTCAGGTTTTGTAATGACTAAAGGAGCTTTTCTAGGCTAACCTAGGGAGTTGACAACCATCATGGATAACAAACAATAGTAACAACAATGATGATGATGCACGTTCGTTTCTCTTTTAATAAACCTAGTTTTCATCTAAGTTCCATGAAGTTGTGATTCCCTGTTGACAAAGCCAACAAGTTCTTATTCATTAAATATATGCAAGGTATGGATTGTTCCATTTTTGTCTTTGAATTCTTGGTATCCAGCAGTGCCTAACACCTAGAATATGCCTAATATTGAATTTAATTGACCATGTCACTCTCTCTCCCATGCAAGGGTCTCTTATAGTATATGGTTCATGAGGAGGAGAGTATTCCAAGGTTGGACAGGTGGTCAGCTCATTTCCCAATGTTTAGTATCAAGAGCTCTCTCAATTAATTGTTTTGTAATAAGCACTATTCCAGTGCCACTAAACAGCAAAAGACCAATGTATAACTCATGTTTATTTGAGTTGGGTTTGTTGAAGGCTATGCATTACTTCAAGAAATGAATCACAGTTGGCAGGATCTCAAATGACTATCGAGTACAGAGAGCATGAAAGCTTCCAGACTGAAGGACATGGCCTTGGGCCTGCTGAGTTTGTTTCCTCTGCTAGCTGTCTCTATGCTGATAGCAGTATCTCTAGCTACATGAAGGTCAAAAGATGAATCTTTGGCAACCGTGCAATTTGAGTCTGGATTACTCTGGCTGATATAGAGAAAAATCTCTACTTCTGATGTGGGTTGTTATCAGTAAAACCTCTGCTCTCCACATTTTCTTGAAGATTTACAAGCACTAATTGGCCAGGGCCACACTCCTGCTGAAGGTCTTGAATGTGTAGCAACTCTAGGAAGTAATTACTTCTTCCCATTTTCTTATCCCCATTTTATAGATGAAGAAATTGGGGCTGAGAAAAGCTAAGTGATTTTTCCCTCAAGAATGGAGGAGGCAGCTTTGATTTCAGAGTGTGTTTTCACCAGATATTGGTCTCAGAGTCATTACTCATTTAAAGGTAGACAGGAGGAGAGAAAACATTCAGCACCCTGTCTCTTCAGATACCTAAGAGGCTGGGAATTTGTGCTTTATTTTTCTGAAGGGTCAAGAAGGACATTATTCTTTTTCAGAAACCAAGAAATGAGTTTTTAATGGCAGCAATTATGGCTACAGTCTCGTTCATGTCTGGCTCTTGCTTTATAAGAAGTATTAAAAAGAAAAAAAAGGAATTGGCTCCTAAATATGGAATTCTATTTCATACAGGCTCCAGACTTTAAAGTTTTGTTTTGACAATCAACTCGTGCTTACTAGGTGGGGACATTATATGGGTGAGACATGAAAGGAAAAACAATTAAGGAGGGTCCTGCTGCTGCAAAGAGGGTTAGATTTGGAGTCAGGAGAGACCTGGGTTCAAATCCTGACTCTGACACTTGCTAATTATGATCACGTACAATACATCTCTGAACCTTGGGTCTTTTCATCTGTAATATCACCTGTAGTACAGCTAGAAGCCTATTGGGTGAGAATAAAGAATCCCCTGGGGGAGATGAGGGGGGTCAGGTAGCATTATTCAAACTTGCACTGCATATTTCTATTGGCCTAGAACCAATGACCACATTTTGCATAATTATAACTCTGACTGGTGCAAATTCAAATATATATGACCTCTGCCGGGGACTCATTACACGCACTGCCTGGGACTTAGCTAAATCTATAACTTAGAGTGTTGCTGTGAGGCCCAGAGGAGACAATGCATGGAAAGTACTTTGCAAATCTTAAAGTACTATATAAATTCTACAGTTCAGCCAAACTGGCAGAATTTGAACTTGGCTCTGACTCCAATACTGTATATATCACACAACCTGACCCATACTGCCCACATTCAGGTAGTATTTTCCCCACTTCATGCATGTGGTCTCCCACTGCTTTTAATAAGTTTTTGGAAGAAACAGTCTTTAAAAAAAAAAAAAAGACAGATTGCCAGGAAACTGAATTCCTAGAAGGAAAATAACAACATTTGCTGTGGCTGAACACTTCCAAGATGTCTTTTTGGTCTGCCCTGTGGATTCTGACTGGAAAGAAAACTAGGCAGGAGACCAGGTCAAAATACAAAGACTCCAGGAATATACCTTCCCACTGTCTGAATGGGTTTTCTCTTTGAAGCTTCTGCCACTAATTTTCATCAGGAGCTATCACAGACTTTAAATGGAGGTGTGAGAAAGCCTCAGCTTAATTCAGAGCTAACAAATTAGAAACCCATCCTGCGTAGCCAATAGTGCCAATCATTCTATCTGACATTTGTAATGATGACCCACAAATGTAACTATTGCAGTATCTAAGAAACAAGACTCAGAGGGACACTTGCTCTGCAGCCAGCAGCAAAGTTCCGAGAAATCAGAGGGCTGGCCAAATGAAGGCTTTGTCATTGAACAGTCACACCCGCTCGGCCCTGAAGTCCTCACTGAAGTCAACTGTAGGGCATCTCTCTTCCAAACAACAGAAAAAGAAATCTCCAAGCTGAAGATATTAAGGCCCTGCCTGGATGCCAAGTTTTCTGAAAAGGTCTTTGACTAGAGACTTGAGCCCTGAGTTGGTTCAGACCACTGTCAGACCATCTGGTCGTGATGTTAGTTTCCATAATGTAAGTCTTTTGCACAGGGCCCCACAATATGGGGAACATCGAAGGGGGAGACCTTTGGACCAGATCCCCACTTGTGAATACTAACCACCAATCCGTGATGAAAATCTCTTCTTTAGCTTCTTCCATTGCATTTGCTATGTCTTCAAAATACCCTTTTGCATTAACATACCTGCAAGAAAACAAACAGGTATTTTTAAAGTTTTCATTAAAAAGAAAATCATATCTCTCATGGCAAAGCATCAGAGTTTGTTTTCATTTCATTTCATCAGTGAAAAAAATTATAGTATAGAGACTCCCTCTACAGATGTGAATGAACAACTCATGGTCTTGATAACTTTACATCAACAGATATGTATTGACCACAAATCTGCACCTTACAGTCTGACAATTGCCTAGAACACTGAGAGGTTAAGTGACTTGCCCAGGCACACAGCTAGTATAAGTCAGAGGAGGAATTTGAATTCAAGACTTCCTGACTCTAAAATCCAACCTCGTAGCCACCATATATGCCATGCTGCTCTCTGAAGGCATGCTATAGGGTTAATAAAAACAATAAACGGTTTGACACAACCAGCAAACATAGATGGAAAATGTCTCTTTCTGCCTTAAAGAGTACAGTAAAAAGAGTGGCATAATCAATTCTCCCTAACTGGTTCAAGGACAAATCTGACAAACAACATGCAGAAATAACATTTCCATGTAGCAGGTGAAGGTCGGAAAAGTCCTTTATTTATCCCTATCTTGTCTGATCCTGATAACAACCCTTCAGGAGAAGAGCTACAGGTTTTCTCACATTCATGTTAAAGATGGAAGAAGTTCAATGACTTTCCCCACTGTCATTCAGCTAGTTAAATATCTGAGGCAGGATTCGAACCTAAGCCTTCCTGCACTCTGATTCCTGGGTTAGGAAATACTTCCTTGAACCTTTCAGGTATTATAGGTGATGGTTTTAGTTTATGTAAAATAAGGGTGATTACTAATGATTCTACTGGGGGCTTCAGAGTGTGACTTTCTGAACAGAGCTGATAGCCCAAGAGCTCTGGAACCAGAGGTCATTTACCACTAATGGGAGGGTCCTGGCTTTCAGCACGAAACCACTGAAAGTTTCTCTTTTAATATTTAACAATAACCACTAGCCATTAATGAGTGGGTAAGGAAAACAAATTTAACCTGAATGTGCTTTGTTATTAGAGGAAAATTAACTGGCAAGTAAATCCTTTGAATATTTATAGGATCACATATCTCAACTGGGAAGAGACCATCTTGTCTAACCCTCTCATTTTACAGATGAGGAAACCACGTCTCAGAGAGTTTGGGCGATTTGTCCAAGGCCACAGAGCAAAGTGACATAGGTTTTGAACCTAGACCTTCTAACTCTAAACTCTATAATGGTCTTTTCCATCCTACCACACTGATTCTCTAATGTACCAAGAAGAAAAAGTCCTGTGTACTTTTTATATGGCTGAAGGTTCAGAGCTCAGCCTATAAGATTGAAAACCCATCATAAACTCATCCAGTGGAAAAAAATTCTTAAGATACCTAAGTAGGAAAATTCATTTCTGCCCATTCTTCCACATGATGGCAAACACCTTTCAAAAAAAAGGAAAGGAAAACACCATCCAAATTTTGAAAGATCACTTTAATTTTATTTTATTATTCTAATTATATTGTAGAATACTAAGGAAAGAAAGCCTTAGGTCAGGGGTTCCTAATCTTTTTGTGTGTCCTAGACCCCTTTGACAATCTGGGAAAACTTAACGACCCCTTCTCAGAATGACGTTTTTAATTACATTAAATAAAATACATAGGTTTACAAATAAAACCAATTATATTGAAATACAGTCTATAGACAGGAAGACTACAGTCAATCACCTGTCATTTAATGGTGGGTCTAATAACTATAGGAATTTCAAAGGAATGACTTGCAACAACCGTAATGTGATATGAAAACTTCTGTGATTTCTATTAGTAATAAAGTCAAAAGTTCCACTGATACGGTTGTGGTTTGTTGCCTACATTCATAATGGAAAGAAATGCTAATTATAATGAGAGATTATTCAAAATAAAGATATAATTCTTTCCCCATCCAAATACATAGATGCCCTGAAACCATGGGTCTCATGTTAAGAATCTCTGCTGAAGGAAAATTCCTTACCATTTGGCCAAGGTATTCTCCTGAATCGCAGCATAAGATCCAAACCTGTGCTCTTTGAGGAAGTTGGCACCATGTTTCTGGATAAATTCTTCAATGGCCCCGCCCCACCACCGTGCGTGCCTGTAGCTGTTACATTTCAAAATCAGTGTCCTACAAAGAGAAGAAGAAAGGAGTTTTAGAGGGTGTAAATGATGCCCTGTGTTCCATTTCTACAAGGGAATTTCTATTCTGAGGATATAGACTGAGGATTAAACATATCACACGATATTCCCATAGTACCTACATTTTAGTGAAATAGGACTGAACCTGTAAATTATTTCACCCCAACATCCATGAAGAAATTTTCCCTATTAATACAAATTAGCATCTTCTCTGCAACTTAGGATCTCAGAAAATTTCTAGGGGGCACCAAGAGGTTAAGTCATTTTTCTGGGTTAAGTAAATTTTTTAGGGTCACACAGCCAGGATATGTCAGAAGTGGGACATGAAACTGGGTCTTCCTGGCTTTGAGGCTGGTTCTCTCTCTGTCTCTCTGTCTCTCTCTTTCTGTTGACTGCTATCGCTCAAAAATGGATGTGTACGTCATTAAAACACTCCAATACCAATCTTGTAAACGTCGATATTCCTTCCAGTGAACAAATCATCCCCCATCCATGCCAGCCTGTCTTGCGCAATCCTTATCTATCTCTTCTAAAACTTTAACATAACGGGTCTCTCATACTCTTGACCTCTTGAGAAAACCAATGGAACACACAGTCATCCTTATCTCTAACTAGGCCATCTACTATTTCAATCATGCATTATTTTAATGACATCAACCCATGTAAATGCAATTAATTCCTAATCAGAACCAAAACTTTTCAAAATGCATAAGACAAGTGAAAGAACAACTTTTGAAAATATTGGAAGTAGCTAAAAGTTCTCACCTTGAAAGATTATCAATCCGGAGCCCATATTTTGTTTCAGTTTCCTTCTTCCCTATCTTAATGCTGAATTCTTTGTCTACCAAAAGGACAAAAGCAATGGCTCCACTGTCGGGCTTCATGTAGAGTAAGAAGGAATCTTTCACTATTAACCACCTGCAAGGATATATATAAATTCCATAGAATCACTCAAGATGAACAATATACATCTTTATCCTGACATGACCTGGTGCTTTACTAAAAAGATAAAAAAGAGAAGGAACAAGAATTTCTTAAGTGCCTACTATGTGCCAAGCACTATTCTAAGTGCTTTACAAATACTATCTCATTTGATGTCCCCAACAACCCTGGGAGGTAGGTATTATTATTATTATTTCAATTTTACAATAAAGGAAACTGAGGCAGACAGAAGTTAAGTGACCTGCCCAGAGTCACCCAATAATAAGTGTCTGGGAGGGGACTTGACCTCAGGTCTTCCTGACTCCAGGCCCAGTGATCTATCCATTTCTCCATCTTGCTGCTGATACTAGAAGCATCGTAACAGAGGACTGGACTTTATTCAATTAATTTAGGATAAATCATTGTATGACCATTCTGCTTTGAGCATCCTTGTTGACCACAAATTATGAATCATTTTCAGAATTCATAACAAATTATTCTCAATGGAGTTAAAAATGAAAAGAGATATTAATCAAATAGTAAACATAGATCTATTACGTTGCCACCCATCAGGGTAGGATTAGAAGCATAGCTGAGAAATACAAATGGTGTAAATGAGAAGGTGTGGATAGGCTGTAATCTGTACCAAAGTGGGGAGGCCCCACAAAAATAGTATCGCCATTGTACAATGTCAATCAATATATCCTTATATGCGATGGGGGAGGAGGGACAGGGGACCAAACCAGTGATTTCACTGATGGTTTCACCAATTTATATTTATATGTAATTTATATATCCCTTACCAATTTATATGTGACCTATTTTTTTGAGGCAATCTGGGTTAAGGGACTTGCCCTAGGTCACACAGCTAGTAAGTGTCCAAGGCCAGATTTGAACTCTGGTCCTCCTGATTCCAGGGTCAGTGCTCTATCCACTGGATCACCTAGTTGCCCCTCCTGTGACCTATTTTTAAACTGGCATCTACTCTGCAAATTAAATCTTAGAGAATTGCCTTGGAGCACTACAAGGTTAAGTGACTTGCTCAGGGTAACAGAGCAAGTACATTTCAGAGGCAGAATTTGAATTCAGGTCTTCCTTGACTGCAACTCCAACTCTCTAAGCACTAAACTGAGTTTCCTCTCATTCCCATTTTGCAGATGAGAAAACTGAAGCCCAGATCAAGTGATTCGTCAGTGTTCACATTGCTGGTAAGCATCAGAGGCAGTAGTAGAACCCACATCTCTCCTGAACCTAAGTCCAGCAGCCTTTAACTCTAAGGCGCTATCTCTCCTGAGTGTCTCTCCCTTTATATAATGGATGAGATGACAGAAATTGAATGTCACACTTTTTTAATGAAAGGCTTTAAATCAATTGAAGGGTCTGACTATTTGAAGGAAAATCATGATGGGGGTCTCTGTAAAATAATTCTTGCTCCCCAAACTTCTCTGTTTTGTCCATTTGGATTTTTTGTATATCTGACATTATATTGTTTTTGTTTTTAAGTGAAGGTGATGCTACATTAGCCTGAAAGTGAATTTCTTTCATTCATTCAACAAGCAACATTTTTAAAAAGAACAGCTGCACAGTGGACTATAATGTGTTGGGGGAATTTACAGGGGAACATGGAGAAATGGTGGACAGGCTGAGAAGGTGGGGATGGATTACAATCTGAGCCAGGAGAGGGTGTACACATGTCAGTGAGCTCCCAGAGCCATCCCAGTGTGAACATGAGTTCATTTGGAATTAATATTATGCATTTTAAGCAAGAGCCCTACCGGCTTCAAATCCAACCTCCCTGTATTTCCCTGGTTCTCAGTTTTCCCTCCTGTAAAATGAAGGGGGTCAGACTAGATGCTGTCTGAGATCCCTCCCAGCTCTCCAATTTTGTCTCTGCTCTCAGGAGCACCTAGTTCAGTGACCGGTATATAGTAGGAGCTTAATAAATGCTTCATGGATCCATTGATCTTTTCTCCTTCCTGCTCTCATACTCGCATACGATCAGCTGCAAAGTCTTGTTGACTCTTCCCAGCAATACCCCTTCCACTCATGCCACCATCATCCGGCTCAGGTCCTCATCACCTCTCACCTGTACTTTCCAGGCTGATTACACCTCATTTGTCCTCACACATTTGATGTTCCAGCCAGACGGGCCACATCGGTTCTGCTTCCTGCACATGACATTCTGTCTCTCATCTCCATCTCCATCCTTGGGCATGTTCTGACCTCCCTGCCTAGGAAGTTCCACCTCCTCACCTCTGCTTCTTGGAACCCTCTCTTCCTTCAAGGCTCAGATCAGTCTCACCTCCCGCTAGAAGCCTTTCCTGATTCCCTCAGTGGTCATCATGAATTTGTCCCTATTTATATTAATTTACCATTTTCTTACCTGTGAAGATATTGTTTCCGGTAGGAATATCATTTCACTTTTGGTTTCAATACCCCCAGTGCCTAGAGCACAGTAGGGAATTAAAAAATCCTTACTGAATTGCTGGACTGAACTACTACATATTTACCTCCATAAGATTTTACAATGGCGAGGTATATTTGACCTTAATGGTATTTCACAATTTTGTGGGGTTGTTAGGGCAAGATCTGTGATTTCACTGCCTAGGAAGTGCCTTGTGAGGAAACTCCCTCCACTCTCTGGAACTTACAGACTTAGTGACTTGCCTAGGACAGCGAGGGGTTAAGCAACTTGCTTGACATAGCTAGTGATGATGATAATAATAACAATAATAATAACAATAACTAGCATTTCTATAATACTTAAAGTTTGAAAAGCACTTTATAAATATTATCTCATTTAATCACTACAACAACCCTAGGAGGGAGATGCTATTATTATCTCCATTTCACAGATAAGGAAACTGAGGCAGGCAGAGGTTGTGTGACTTGCTTAGGGTCACACAGCTGACATACATCTGGGGCAGATTTTGAACTCAGGTCATCCTGACTCCAAGTCCAGTGTTCTATCTGCTGTGTCCCCTAGCTGCTTCTACATTTCTGACACCAAGAAATACCACGCCATGCTGTCCTTCTCTATAGTATAAGCATTTTATTCCTATTTTACAGATGAAAGTGAGTGCTAAATGGTAAAAATAAATGGAAAAGCTAAGATTCGAATGCAAAGAGCTTGCTTCTGAATTTGGTGTTCTTTCCCTTGTACCATGATACCTCCCTCAGTGTTGCTTTGCCCTCAGATCTCTGATGATGACATTATTATTAACACAAGTCCTAACAATCCAGTGATTGCAAAACTCAAAGAATGCTCTCCTGACAAGTATGGGTCACTTTGCGATGAATTGTGTGCGACAGAGGCAGCCTTTTTAATGAGTAAATGAGTATCAGCTAGCCAGAAGATAATATTCATTGATCTACTGACACATCCCATAATATTCAATCACTGGGTGAAGTCACAGTTCTGTAAAGTAAATGTCTGCAATTACGTGGCAACAACCACCTAGCCTTCTCTTCTGGGCCAGCACTCAAGCTCTAAGACACTCCTAGTTTCAATGGAACACTATGGTTTTGAAACCCAAAAGTTCCAGCGGAATTGGGACCCAAAGTGATCATTCTACTTCCAGCTTCCTAGGAAAAGGCTGAATGGGAGAAGGAATCAGATAATGATTTGTGCAGAAGAAGGAAAAGGAATCATAAAGGAGATGCAGAGCTGAGAATAATGCACAAGATTCACTTGAGGAGGGAAAATTTGGAGCAACTTGGGAAGTTGGAGGAGGAGAAAAAGGGACTAAAGTGGAGGTCAGAGGAAGAGGAAGTGGATGGATAGAGCACTGGCCTTGGAGTCAGGAAGACCTGAGTTCAAATCTGGCCTCAGACGCTTATTAGCTGTGTGACCCTGGGCAAGTCACTTAACCCCAACAGCCTCAAAAAAAAAAAAAGACTGAGTGGGACAGACAGAGGCACAGATTACTAAGACAAAGGAAAGGAAAGTAGGGGTCAAGGTGCTAACAAGTGACACATCTAGAATTGAAGACACCCACTAGTAATTCACCAGGGTTATTTCTCCAGGGTGTAAAGAAAGGAGGCTTTCACTTTCAGGAAATAGGGAAAGCAAGGACATTTTCGCAGTAGCCCACATGCAGGATGCTATATTTATATTTCTCACAGCCAAGTGACTGTTGTCTCTGCTCAAAGGCTAACCTGGTCTCCCTCCTAAAAGAGAAGATCTGGATGCTTAAAGAAAGCCTTTCTACCCTCAAGGTATTAGGAAGAATAAAGAGTTCCTTTAAAAAAAAAAAAGGAAGAAGGATTTCATGTTAAAAACAAAGATGAAAGAAAAAGGATATGATGTGGCAAAGGGGAATGTCGACATGCCAGGAGGTTGGAGGGCAGAAGAATGTCACACACAAGAGGAGGAGTGAATGTCATGGATAAATTAAAATAATAATGATGACAATCATAGATAACATTTATATAGGATCTGCTATGTGCTCCAGGCACTGTGCTTTATAAATATCATCTCATTAGAAACTCATACCACGAAACAACCCTGGGAGGTGGGTGTTATTATTAGCTCCACTTTAAAGTTGAGGAAACCGAGGCAAGCAGAGGTTAAGAGACTTGCCCAGGGTTACATAGCTAAGTAAATGTCTGAAGCTGAATTTGAACTCAGGTCTTCCTGATTCCAGGGCCAATGTATGTATATAATGTGTATTGTGTATATATGTACATATACATATGTGTGTGTGAATATACACACATATACATTATCCATGTACACACATATACATTATCCACATATATAAATGAGATAGGGTTAATAAAAATGGAAGGAACAGAGCAAGTAGTATATCTCTGTCACTGGAGGTCTATAAACTCTAGCCAGATGACCATTTGTCAGGGATAATGCAGCTAAGATTAATGCAATGGGAAAGGCTAGATGAAATGACTAATGCTACTTGAACGTTGCAGTTCCTTGATTTTAATCCGTCCCCGTTTGTAGGTAAAACTACAAGTAAGCCGTTCCTGGTCAATGAGCA